TGATGAATATTATTTAAACAAATGTGGTGGCGGATTAAGCAATATTGGAAGTCTTTATGTATCACCACGAATAGTTCAACAAGGACGAGGAATCGGGAACTTCAAAATCAACCCCTATATCTAGCAGAATTAATGAAACTCAAATATTAGATTGGGATGATGCAAAACCTAATACTTCAGAATCAATAATAAAATATGAAGAAAGATTACATAAAAATGAACTCCTTTCAAATTTAACAACTGATAGTGATGAAGGAGAACTTAAGACCGAGGAACGGACAAAGTTGTTAAACGATAAGCGAAAATTAAGTGAGACTTCTTTTTTAGACGATAAAGAAGATATTAAAAGAAAACTAGTGACAAAAGTGATGGTTAATGATCAACAACGTAAATTAAGGGTGAAGCTGAAAAAATATAAAATAGATTCAAATCCATTTCAAGATCTTAAATATGTGTCTTGACGTGAAAAGTGCTAAGAACCAAATAGGAAAAAACAAAATCAATTGGATTTCTTATCAATAGTGCGTTATTTAAATAATAAAAATGGGGAATTTAGATGAAATGTTTATTACATTGCTCAGTAATCATTTATTGAATGTATTTCCTGATAACGTAAATAACCCCCAAGACATGAACGATGATTGGGAAGTTGGTATTATAGACATGTATCTCAATAATTATATTAATCAAATTTCCAATAAAGAAATTCCAATACCTGAAGAAACGATAGATAGATATAAAAATGTAAGCGTTGATTCAAAAACACCGGGAAATGGGTTAATTTGTATTTATACTGACATAATTAAACCTAGATCTGTAGGCTGTAAAAAACCTCGTTGTCTTCGAGTAATGTATTATAATGGAAAAGAAAAAAATATTCAATTTAAAAATATTGAATATTATCCTTTGGATATATGGACACCAAATGAAATCCCAGTACTAATTACTGATTCAAACGGATATATGGTTCCGATTTTTGTTACTCTACATTTCAGAAGAAGAAGGACGTTTTAAAGTGTATAAATAATACGGGCTTTAAAATTATTTACTCATAATAAAAACAGTTATCATGGCGAAATCTTATGATGAATATTATTTAAACAAATGTGGTGGCGGACTAAGCAATATTGGAAGTGTTTATGTATCACCAAGAATAGTTCAACAAGGACGAGGAATCGGGAACTTCTTTAGCGGTCTTTTTAATTATATCAAACCACTTTTTCTTCCGGGTATAACTGCTAAAAAAAATTAGGTTCCGGCTACTGGAAAGGCTGTAATCAATGAAATCGGAAGAAAACCCTTAAGAACAGAGTAAAGTTGCTTTGAAAACTTTGTCTTATAAAGCGATTGATAAAATAAAAAACTGCTAAAAAAGTAGGCTGCTGCTACTGGAAAGGCTGCAATCAATGAAATCGGGAGAAAACCCTTAAGAACAGAGTAAAATTGCTTTGAAAACTTTATCTGATAAAGCGATTGATAAAATAACCCGATTCCAAAGCGGAGGCGTAAAAAGAAATAAAACGCGAGGCACAAGAAAAAAACGACATCATTTAACATCAATATCAGGCAATAGCGTAAACATACCAAACCACATCATAAAAGAAAAAGAACTATAAGAAAATTAAATATTAGCGACATTTTTTCTAAGACAATTTAATTTCAAAGTAGTACTAAAGTTAAATTTTTCGGAAAAATCCACGGCGATATATTTAATCAACCAAAACTGGTAGTAAATAATGTTGAATTAAGAATTAATTTTAATATTGATAAAACTGCTATTATTTAATGGAAACTGGTACTGAGCCAAATTTAAAGATACTGGAAGCTCAACTTTTTATGAATCATATAACAGTTAACCCAAGCATTTTATTGGCTCACCATCGAGTTTTACAGATCAAAAATGCTATATACCCTATCAATAAGGTTGAAGTAAAATCTTTCACAATATATCAAGGAAATAATACATTTTCTCAAGCTCTTGACTTTGATTACTGGAATGGTGAACATGTTAAGAGATCACGGGGCTATAATATGCTATTAAGATCTAGTGGGATAAAACATTATGATCGTGGTCTGATTATAACAAAGGAAATGTTTGACATAAGCAGTTTTATATTGGCTTTTGACCTAACTGCCGATCATTCAAATTCGAGTGTTTGTGCGAATTTAATAACCAAAGGAACTATACGAATCAAAGGAAAATTCTCAGAACCACTTACTGAAGCAGTTACTTGTCTGGTGTACAGCGAATACGATTCCATGATTGATATTGATAAGCATAGAAACATACGATTACTCCTTTAACATGAATACATTACAAATTAAATATTTGCTATCAAAGCATACAAAAACACAATCGATTTTTAAAGGAGTTTTCCCTTCGGACCAATTACCTAAAACTATAAAAAAGTATCCGGCTCTTATTATTGCAAATACCGATCCATTAGGTAAACCTGGAACTCATTGGATTGCCTTCTACTTTGATAGCCCTATGTCAGCTGAATTTTTGAATCATATGGTCAATATCCGCACAAAAAGGAATTCATAACATTTTTAAGATCAAACGCACACAACTATTTTTTAATAAACAACAACTCTAAGGATATTTTTCTAATACCTGTGGTCATTACTGTATGCTGTTCGGACTTTTTAAATGTAAAAACTAATCACTTAACTGCTTCCTAAATAAATTCAGAAAAAACGACATTACCTATAATGATAAACAAGTATTTAAAATGTTTAAGAAAAATTTCAAAAAGTAAAATAAAGAATAGTTTTGTAATATCAGTTTAGTTTATTTAATGTTTCGGAGAGATACAATCTCTTATTTAACTTATAATACTTAAGCTTAATATCGGCAGCATATGACACTGACATGTGTCTGGTCCAGATGTAGCGTCTTCATCACTGCAAGGACAACGTTTATAGTGGAATCCAAACTTTGAATGTATTAACTCCATTTCCGCTAAGTCCTCAAGGGTGGCTTTTAAATAATCAAGCCTCCTGAGGTGTTGCTCGAATTGCATGTCTTTAAACTGCATCAAGAAGGCTTCAATTTGTTTGCATTTTTGTAAGACTTGTAACTTGTTAAGGTTGAACTAAAATTGATTTTGGGTTAAAAAACTCAATCTTTTATAAGGGAAATTTCTTATTTACTTCATTTATTTACTGATAAATTCTATTTGAGCACAGCTATATCTATTCAGATCTTTTCCTTTATATACCATATGAGAAATTTCGTTCTCAGTCAATTTCTTAAATGGTGTCTTAGCTGAAAATTTTTTTTTTCTTATTGGTTAAATAAAGGCATATTTTAGTTCCGTAAGGCGTTTTCCGTAATTTACATCCAGTAATCTTATACTCAAACCCAATACATAGATTTTCAATTTTCGTATAACCAATAACAGGCTTTGATTCATTTAAGGTCTTTAAGAAATCCTATAAGGAATAAGTACATTACTAAAGAAGTGTTTATATACCATTTTTGATTGGTGAGAGGTTGGAGTCGTGGTGTTCTAGTCACTAGTCGTTGAACACTAATTTGTTACATGCATTACATGGTCTTTTATACATGAAAGAATATACCCATTTCACTCTTTCATGTAGGCATTATATATATATATGTATATATTATATATACAGGTGTACAACATAGTTAAAGTATATAATATACAAAATTTCATTTAAAACCCTTTAAAATAGATGTATTTTTTTATAAAAAAAAACAGTTCAGTTTCACATCAAAATGGGCAAGTTTCATTGTAAGTTATGCTCAGAATCAAATTTTATACTACGCGCAACAGTCTAAAAGTCAACAGTCATACCTTAAAAGTACACAACTTTATTACTACTGTTATATCTGCCCTGAAGCTCACAAATTTTGGTTGCGAGACGACTTTAATGATGTTGATGCATGATGTTAAATTAAAAAAAAAAACTCAATTTTCTTGAAATTTGGGTTTCATGTATTGGTAATGAAAATCATACTTTTTCCACTTTGATAAGTCCAATACAGCAAAACCCAAATACATTGGCTTATCAAATACTACTGAAAGTTTTTTCATTTGGATGGCATATAACTCGTTATTTATTTTAGTTGCACTATAAAAATTGAATTTTGAAATTAAATTTTTATCACAATGTTTTTTTTCGACCTAATTTATGAATATATTTAGACTCCCATGTAGTATCCAATTTAACCTCTACGCGTTATTCAGGATTTTCCATTAATTTAAAAAATCTTTTTCAAATTTATTCTTGGGATTCTGTCTATGTAAAGTATTCAAATCAATAAGTCTTTAGACAAAGTTTTTCAAAAAAAACATTTTTTTTAATATTAACCCATTTTGTATATATTGCTGCAAATTTCTATAACGAATTACATATTTTTTTTTGTTCCCGAGGTCAGCTTTTAATTTATTTACTTTATCCTCTTTAGACGCAAAGATATTCTTTCTACGCATAAGTCTCAATTACTTTTCGTTTTTAAAGAATGTTTTTACTGTATTTAATTGGTCATCAATTAGGTTAGAAGCAAAGGTATCTAAACTTGATGGCATAAATGTGAATGTCTCAAGAAATCGAATTTCGAAATTGTTTCCATTTGAAGTTATTATGGTTTTGGAAACCGAAATATAATATATTGTTCTTTATTTACTGGGATTGCATATACTACCAGGAATTTAAGCCAAGTCTTCAATAAATAAATGACAATCATGTTTAGAAAAATTATGGAAAAACACTGGTATGAATTTACATAATCTATACTCTAAGTTACTTTTAGAGTGAGCTGTACATCATGACCAAATAAATCTGTTAAATGACAATAGTCCCTAACTCTATCATTTAATAAAATTTATAATTTTTATTGGGTAAACTCCAGAGTTCGTTTGTGTAATTCCGGTAGCCTGGACACTTTTCCGCTACAAACAGTCTTATGTCTTAGAGCAGCATCCGCAGATCCAGAGAAATTCAGACAAACATTACAAAAACATTGTGATCTCTTTTGAGACCCCTTTTGTATTGTTAATAATCTATAGAATAACAATGAATATTTTATTTAGTACGTTATATAGTTATTTATATTATATTGTATGATACATACCTTAAAATATTTTTAATGAACATGTAATGTCCACATTCTCCATCTTCCAGAAACATCATGTTTATATGACATGGTTTCTCAATCTCCGATTCAAAAAGTGGCCCAATTATTTGTTGGTCTCTTCATTATACTCAAAGATGCTTACACTCATGTAATGATTATTCTTTAAAAATGTTTTCACGCATTTTATTTCTAAAGGGAAATTTATATTGGTGAAATCCAATATTAATTCATTATTCAAATATATTTTCAGTGGATATATCAATATTATATAAACAACATCTTTGGGGTTTTTTTTACATTTATTAAAGCCGATATCAAGGCCCATTTAAAACAGTATGCTTTATTTTTATTACAGATTTCTTTGAAGCTAAAAATGTTGGAAGCGGCATATACGAGGTGTGTTCAAAAAGTAAGGTGACTTTTCAAATTTCGCGGGCAACATATTTTCGATTATCGTTTTTTTTGTTTTGTTATATTGGTACACTCTTCCCTAACATCTGTACCAAGTTTCAATGGAACATCCTCTTTTGTTTGGTTGTGAGAGGCGTAAAGTTACAAGTTATTTTGCGAGCTCGGCGATTTTTTGCTTTTTTCGGTCTTGGCTCGTCTGGGCTCTTCCATTGGGACGATTGGGCTTTGGTTTCGATATCATAACCATATACCCATGATTCGTCACCAGTTATGACCCTTTTGAGTAAATCTGGGTCGTCGTTGACGTCATTCAACAGCTCTTGAGCGATGCTCATGCGACGGTTCTTTTGGTCAAAATTCAGCAATTTCCGGAACAAACTTCGCTGACACACGACTCATACCCAAAACGTTTGAAAAAATTTCATGGCACGAGCCAAGCGATATACCGACATCTTCAGCAACTTCTCTGATAGTGATTCGACGATTTTCCAAAACAATTTTCGTCACTGCTTGAACGTTTTCATCAGTTGTTGACGTGCTTGGGCGTCCAGAGCGAGGCTGGTCATTGGCATCTTCCCGGCCATCTTGGAAGAGTTTGTACCACTTGTACACATTTTTTTTACTCAGAACAGTTTCACCGTATGCCACTGTCAACATTTCAAGTGTTTCAGAGCACTTAATTTTCTTTTTTACACAAAATTTGATGCAAATCCTTTGATCCATATTTTTCGATAGCAAAAAATCGCCGAGCTCGCAAAACAACTTGTAACTTTACGCCTCTCACAACCAAACAAAAGAGGATGTTCCATTGAAACTTGGTACAGATGTTAGGGAAGAGTGTACCAATATAACAAAACAAAAAAAACGATAATCGAAAATATGTTGCCCGCGAAATTTGAAAAGTCACCTTACTTTTTGAACACACCTCGTATGATAAACCTGATAATGGTGTATATTGGTTCACATTCATTTCTAGGCGCATTACTTCAATTGATGCCATCCCGTTATTCTTTTCTTGGAATTCTTGTGTTTTTGTTACTATTTCCATGCTCCAGAAAAATAGATTCCAAATCCGAGTACTGATAAATAGCAACTCAGATAAATTCCCAGATAGTATGAGATGGATTTAAGCCAAATGAAACCCTTTGGTTGGAGGAGATCAGAAAGATCTTCAAGATAAAACTTTGTTTTGAGAAAAACAACCTTAGTATTAAAGTACAGAAATGTAAACAAACTCTGAATTTTTAATAAACAACAACAAAGTAAGCCATTGTTATGATTTCTGTGCCAGAATCTGAAACTGTTCATGTGGTGGGGGGAACCAAAAACTCCGAAATTTTAATAAACAAGACGTTCCCTCGGTCGGAAATAAGCAAAAAGGCCCTGTCGGTGGTAAGGGGAAATAGTAATTACAGAAAGCCAGACAGATTATGGTTTTCGGGGTGGGGGAAATTTAATTAAAATCATTAATGTCACAGTTAATTGCCCATAAATCTGGCCCAGAACCCGCATTTTCTATCTACTAAGATTCTTAAGGCCCACTCTAAAGCCCACAAATCACGAAAATTAAATTCTCTGAAATCTCAGAAACTATAAGAGCTAGAAAGTTGAGATTAGGTGTGTATAATCTTCAGATGCCAGCGCATCTTATGGTGGTATCCGACCACACCCACTCTTATCCTACCACCCTACTAACAATCCGTATGCCTGCTGCCGTCCAGGAAGCGTTTTCTTCTTGTCCAGTATTACAAAAAATGGAACCAAAGAACCCTACGTCAAGGGCGCCTTTGTCTCGACAGAACTTCAACCAAGGCCACCAAAGTTCTCCCAGACCCATCAATTCAACCATAACCATTTGAAGCGAACTCAAGGCACAAATGTGCTCCAAGCGGAAGCGTGCAGGGATCTCCAAGAGCACTAATCAAACACGAGTCAAACCAATCAGGTCTAAATTATAGGTCAAATTTTGACTCGCGACAAGGAGAGGCCGGCGGCATCAAGCGAATCCCGAGCCCTAACACTAATTTGAATCCCTTCCGTAAAGCTCAAAGTCTTTACCATATCAAATCCACCCCATCATCGGACCCCTCTCCAAATGAGTGTTATCAAGGAAATTCTAATAACAGGGTAGAGGTACGGCAGTTTTCACCTCAAGGAAAAAACATTGTTCTGAAGTAGAGCGTATTAACGATGTTGAACAAATTTTATTTTTGTTCTTCCTGGACTAAAATCATTTAACGGCGACGACAGCCTAAACACTTTAAAGGCCCTGATCTACAGAAAACGACCTCTTGACAATATCACCCGATATCAAGATACCCCTTCTGGCAAAAAAACCCCAAATGTTCCGACTGTTGTTCGATGATAAACACCCCAAATGTGCAAAGCTAGCATTAAACGCGAAATAACTAATTTTGGCATGCTAAATTTTAAGAATATGTATTAACTCCATCTGGAACCAAAGCAGTCGAAAAAAATGTAGAGAACATCACCACCTACCAATGTAAAGGAACTAAACAGTTTTCTCGGCATGCCATCCTATAAGTAAATTATTAAAGACTTTCGCAAAATCACTGACTCATTTAACTCGAGGAGAGTTCGGTAGAGTTAAATCTTCACAATTGAAAAAAGTTCCCATTGAACTCAATGAGGCGATAAAAGCCAGGAATGATTTTAAAACTATCCTTTCATCCTCAGATACATTAAACTACGCTATCGGAGTAGTCCTCTTTCAAGTGAATTTGGCAGAAGAAAACTATGCCACCAATGAAAAAGAAATGCTCGGATTCCATAGCTAAAATTCATAGCGCTCTTCAAAACGCACCTTATTTAATTACAATCGTTGAAACACCGCTTAACACCAACCGAAATCAATTAAACTCTCCGGTTATTGGTGTGAGCACCCATATGCTAGATATGTGCGCCCTTAAAAAACGAATACAGTCATCTATGGAATTAAAATCCCGGACCAATAACCACTTGAAAATTGCGCAAGTACGACCGTCACCCAAATAAACCACCATTACAGCCAACCCCATACCCTCAACTACCCATGTATCTCACATTCATTCATTTCGACGTTTTCAAATTGGAGAATAAAAGTATACTTTCCCTTTACAATCAAAACCAGCAATTCATCTTCGCGAGACATAACTAAATGCAATTAAATATTTTACAGCGCCTAGAATGATAGTGTCTGATAACGAAAGAGGCACAGAATGCCCAACTATCCTAAACTACATGAGAAAAATGGGAATTGAACTTTATGATATCCCAATTCAGAAAGGAGAACCGTACTTATAGTATAAACTACCACGGATTATGCGATTTTAAACAACAAACTCATGAAGACATTCGATGTCTCATTTAACACAAACAAATTCAAACCAACAATGGGTGCATTAAAAATAGAAGCAACTCAATTTTCAACAAACAAATAAGAACCAAAGAAAAGCAACGAAGTGCACTCTCGAACCCGCAACCATGGCCTAATAATCTGTGGGACAGAGATCTCGTTGTGCAGAGGAGTTTGCAATTTGTCAGCTAAACTCAAATCATAATCGGTGGCCAGAACTGCAGCAGCTACTCTCTTCACCCCTCTCGGCCACACAACGACAACAAACATAAAAGTGGATACAATAATGGAGCAGCAGTAGAGATATAACAACAGCGTCGCAGCGACAGCAATGCAGACACCAATCGTCAGCGGCGTCAGAACGACAGTGCAGCGACAGAACCTCAAGAACGGCAGAATTGCAACGGAGATCGAGACTTAGGTCCCGGAATATTGTAACTAATCTATATTCAATCCTTAACGGTTAAGTTGGCAGCACGATAAAAGAGGAGAAGCAGCAGTAGATGAAGAGTAAGAGTCAGCCACCAGAAGTCGCAGGGTAAGGTTGTGCTCTTAATTTATCACAGCCGTATATTTATACCCGTTACTCGTTGATTGGAAGGGTATATAAGTTTCGTTGAAAATTATGTAACAGGTGGAAAGTATAAATATTCTTGAACAGTTCAATAGCGAATTCATTTAAGCCATGCCCGTCTGTTCGTCTGTCCGTCCGTCCGTCTCTCAGTCCGTCCGACTCTCCGTCCGTCTGTCCGTAGGAACGCTGAGGTCTCAGGAACTATAGGAGATACAAAGCTGAGATTAAGGATGAAGGTTCTTGAGGCCAACTCTAAAGTCGCTGTCGCTGCGACAGCAATGCAGATACCAATCGTCAGCGGCGTCAGAACGACAGTGCAGCGACAGAACCTCAAGAACGGCAGAATTGCAACGGAGATCGAGACTTAGGTCCCGGAATATTGTAAGTAATCTATATTCAATCCTTAACGGTTAAGTTGGCAGCACGATAAAAGAGGAGAAGCAGCAGTAGATGAAGAGTAAGAGTCAGCCACCAGAAGTTGCAGGGTAAGGTTGTGCTCTTAATTTATCACAGCCGTATATTTATACCCGTTACTCGTTGATTGGAAGGGTATATAAGTTTCGTTGAAAATTATGTAACAGGTAGAAAGTATAAATATTCTTGAACAGTTCAATAGCGAATTCATTTAAGCCATGCCCGTCTGTTCGTCTGTCCGTCCGTCCGTCTCTCAGTCCGTCCGACTCTCCGTCCGTCTGTCCGTAGGAACGCTGAGGTCTCAGGAACTATAGGAGATACAAAGCTGAGATTAAAGATGAAGGTTCTTGAGGCCAACTCTAAAGCCCACAAATCACAAAAACAAAATTCTCTTCTCTACTTGGAAGTTTTTCAGAATCGAATACGGATTTTAAA